TTACCCAAGACAATATATGTACTTCCGTACGATATTTAATGGCAACTTAATGCCGATTGGGAAGGTTATATTGCTTTAATGACTCTGTGAGCGGGGAGGAGACGAAGTGTTGCGGAAACCAGCAGCATCTGCTGCACATTTCTGACATACCCAGGCCTACAGGAGAGGGCCTACATACACGTGACGTTTCCGCTCTAGTTCGTGACGTAGCGGGTGGTCTTGGATCCACGACGTACAGATCTGTTAGCGTTATCCGGACAAATTCATTCTGAAACGGCGTGAAACACCCAAAACCACATCGATGATTTCCGGATCATCAGATCTTGTAAGTTTGGCTTTATTCATTTTTCCGTATCGGTGACTAAATTATCCAGGAAATTGAGTATTCGTATCCACGTTGTCAACAGTGATGACGTGAATTCACTTGGATCACAAACATGTTTTTTAGCAGAGAATGAAATGGTGTTATGGTCCTCACATCTTTACCTTTCAGAAAGTAATATTCCAATACTAAATAAGTAGTTTGTATCTGCGGGACATAGAATGTTGTTTTATCTTAACTTCTGCTTTTCTTTTAACTGATTTTTCATCTGAATAGGAAAACAAAAATTCACATTACTCCATGTTTGACCTACTCTAGATTTTACTAGATGATGCTGAATAGTCTCACAAAACCAACAAAAAAGTCATTGAAGGTAAATAAACGGGATCCTTGAGCGATATAGATTGATAGGTTCATTGTACCCTTACGAGCTTTAGGATTGGATTAGAATATTTCATTTACTATCATTATTAATACAGCTGTCTGCAAAGTAAGGTTTAGTCACGTAGAAGTGGCCAGGAGTTTGCCGTCTTGAATAGTCCATAGGTTTCCTTCATCTTGCTGTCATGTCAGCTCTTTTACGTAATTAATCTATAGTTGACCGGACAAACTGTTTGGTAGGCTCAACAAACGTACCGGTTAATTTTAGACTTGTCGTCAATGCTACATCAGTTTAAACTTGTCGTTTTGTGTGTTTTACTGAGTGCCTTGTTGTAGATCAAAGTCATACCACGGCTAGAACTAGAGCAGATATCAGTGTTGACTTTTCCTTTATGCCGTCGTTTGTTTCAGGAAGAACTGCAGCAAATGCACCTTCATGATCATGATAACTCATAAAGATATTATAGCAACTGTCGACAGGTGACATCGAGATTTCTTCCTCATTGTCCATATTGTAGTGCCTACTTCACCTGGTTATGTTACCGAAGTACTGTTTTGTTTGTTTGTTTGTTTGTTTGTTTGTTTGTTTGTTTGTTTGTAATTCGTGATTTCAATCTTGTCTGTTTGCTACGTGATTATGAGTCACCATCTATAAACGTGATTTCTAAACTTCGCGACCCTTCCACGTCGGGAATTATTTTCTATTGTTTTATTATTGCCCTATTCAGACGGGGGAGACTTGCACTAGAACCCCAAACTTGGTCACTTTTCCAAACATATATATCTGGCAACAACTTTATATAAGTGAGTCATTTTCATAATTTTGGGTATTTCGAAAAGTGTTTGTCGGCAGTTGTAATTTTGGTTTAAACATGGAGGTTTTTTCTACTTCCATGGTTTAAACAAAAAAGCTTTCAGATTTTCAAATATGCCTTCCAACATCAATAACATAATGATGTAATTTCATTACAAATTCAATTGGGGGATTTGGTGACGTCATTGGTCAACACCTAGGATTGCGAACAGTACCGTTCGCTCAGGTGTAACCAGGATATTTTCACTTAACTTTCATGAATACTTTTCATTACTTACATAACATTATTAGTCCATTCGCATTGTATTTCTAGCATGTATGTTTCATCATCATGTATGTTTAGAAAGCGGATTTTTAAAAAAATTGCTGAATCATTTTGTACTCTGTATCCAAAATAGATCGCCCCCCCCACGGATATAAGAGGTCAAAATCCAACTTTTTTACGCAACTGTAACAGGTACAATGTATGGCAAGCTCTTCAGAGTTACTACATATCTGATATCTACTCTAGCGTCTTCAGTAATGCTGTTTCATAAACGTGATATATTATAAATGGAACATGCCTTAAATGATGATATGCAATAATTCTACAGTTATTCTGTCTAGAGTTGCGATCTAGATAAGATGGTGGCTAGATTTGATATATGACGTCATTTTTTGAGACGTCATTTTGACGACGTTGTTTGGCAACATGTCTTAGTAGATAGTTTATCATACACTCTTTTTATTAGCTTGTTTTGATACCTTTATTTTAAAGGAACAGCCTGGATGTTTTACCCCGATAAAATCACATACATGTCATAATAAATCAACATTACACCATAATTGTTTTAATTGATTTATAGCAGTACATAATCGTATGGAAATTTAGTGGTTTAAAGCCCCAGTTCCTGGTCACAGGATCACAAAAAAAGTGTCCGAACAGGGTTTTTAAAAAACTTGACATAATACCTTCAGGAGATAGAGCTTTGGTAGATTGCTTACTTTCTTTCCTCTTAAAAGATTTTTACTCCGTAGGTTTAGGTAGGTGTCTGGTAGCAGAGGTTCTCTAAGCAGATATTAGGTGGCTGTTGTGCATAATGGTGGCGAGTATCTTTTGGGATTGTGGTTTGCACCTACTGCGATACCTTGTCAAATGAATAATATGTAGTAAATGAAAAATATTGTTATGAAAGCTGACTTTGTTCATCTATCTAGATTGTGGTGTTGTTTATTTTATGTAGCCTGTGTTTACACTAGTAAGTCTGCAACTGTTTCCCCAAGGGAGGGCGGCAAACCTCTGGGCAGGTGGCCACCAGGAGCGCGATTTTTTAGTCAGGCTAGATTATTAGACCAGCGATTTAGCCAATTTTACTATACGTTGTTACCAGTTGTTAAGTGATCACACACTGTTTACATACACTATTACTGTTCTCAATCTGCAAAATATAAAACACGGAGAATTGTCGCCTATGGACACGTGTTTTTAGTTAGGTTGAAAATACTGAATCTATTTAACTGACGGTCTCCCAAGGTCCCACATCCATCAGTACATGGAGCTCCCACAGCAGGCATGCTGCACATCATGGTGTAATTATATCTCAGTCTGTACAAGGTTTTTATAATGTTTTTTTTCTCGTCGTCTTTATCGCGCAGAATACTTCCCGGCTTTTCGTGTTTCTTACAAGACTATCTAAACGCAGTCTGTTGAACTTTTAAGCTCTTCTATAGAAAATAGTAACATTATAGAGAGAATCCGTTGAGGCAACAGATAAAACGTGTTGCAAAGCTGCAACCTGCGTAAGTGGTTTAGTAGTATAGACTCGCCTCAGATACTTTCCAAAGCCCCACACAAGCTTGAGTTGGTCTGTAAAGACCACGGGTAGGGTACTGCTGGGTAGCGTGTTTGTCCCGACAGTCGTGTCAGCACCTTTAGAGAAGCAGTGTTCGGTGAGTGACATCGAACTCACCCGTGAGTTAAGTCTCAGTCGCATAGCTCTCCGTCTTTAGGAAAAGCACTACAAAGGACAGAAATACAGGATTAAAGTTCTAGTCTACCAACTGGCAGATCTGTGAGCCGGTTCTTGAAGTTTTAGATGGATGTCCGCCGTGCTGCGTCCGGAAGTCTTAGCTGGTGAGGAGGTATGTGTACAGAATAGTTAATATCGTTGTCAACTTCTCAGCGATGCAATACTCGAATCGTCCTGGGTGTCCCGTCATTTTGAAAGCAGGTCTCTGCAGAGGAGACAACAGGTAGTGTCGGTGCCCGTATTTGGGTACCAGATCATTACATCATTACGATCATTTAATGACGCCTTGGCATTATTGCCCTTAAACAATTTAATTTTTTTGTACTGCCTTCCTTATTCAGAGATCTATTAGGTCATAGTTACAGCATTATTGTTGTGTTCCACGTAGTCTATTCGGCAGTCTGTTCCTCACATGAAGTCTGCCAGGTTCATTGTCACACCTGCTGACCTCCAGTAACCCCTCCCTCGGGCCACGCGAGACAACATGGCTCTAAACGTGCCCAACATCGTCAACATACATGAATAAAACCTACGGGAAAATCGCCATGTGTAGCTATAATGAGAGTTAAAATCAAATTTCCCTTGCCGCTGTGAACAGGACAAGATTGCCAGGCTACCCCTGATCTAAATGCGTTCTTGCCGGTTGTGACAACACCATGCTTACTTAACCCAGATGTCGAGCCCAAAGGTCACATCGCGGTCGGGCAGGCGAAACTACCATTAGATTGACTGGGAGGGTTACAAAAGGTTTGAGCGGAGATTGCCCGGATCTATACTGGCATGAGAAAGCCTCCACTCCGTTCCGTAGCGCTTGTATGTGATCAGGACTTACATTTTAATGGCGGGTTTCCCTGTACTTCTGTCGGCCGGAATCCCGGGAAAGTCCGCCCGTTTGCCATATTGTAAATTGATTACTGTTTAAAGTGGCAAGTTTAAAACCAGATCAATAAAAGGCTTTCATCGAAGCACCAGAAGTTCTTTGAAGATATGACTTCCGTGATGGAGGACGATAATAACAAAGTCTGCATGACCGTTAAAAGCGCTGTGGGAGACGGCTGCAGTAATGGTCTGCTGTGCCGAGTGCAGTGGCTGTGCACCTGTGCATATTAATATGAGACCGGCGAGGAGGCATACAAAACTATGTTCGTGAAATGGAGAGAACGTTTTGTTAAAGTTGCCTGTTGTTAAAGGGTCGATATGGATCTAGATTATGACTATAAAAAGACATATATATATATGTATACATCATTCTACATTAACATGAAAACGATATCAAATATTTGTACTTTACGACCTTGTTTTAATTTTCATTCCCAGTCTTCGATTTCCCATCCGCAATGCTGTACATTTTCGCGGACAGGACAACCCTCCTCCGGTCAGCCAATGAGGATCGGTTAGGGGGAAATTTGCTTCTCCTGAGGTCATACGTCATAGTTTGCGCCCAAAGTGATTAAGGACTTGGATCATTACTTCCGTACATTTCCGTCCGTTACTTTCATTACTATTGTACATGTTTTCAGTTGCGATGGTTTTGGATTGTGTGTGCGGTTGGAAGGATGATGAAATACTAAGATTAATAATATAATTTGATTTAATTCGCTCGGGATACGAGTTATGATTTTTTCTATGCGACACCGTTGTAACATGTGTAGGTAAGTCTAAAGTTTGTTTTTTGTTGTTAATGAGGTAGTGTATGAGCGACAAGGTGGGAGAGAAGAGGTTTCCAACAGTATCAGTAGAGAGAATAGATAGTTATAAATTCACATCGGGAATTGTGTTGGATGTAGTGGAGGGATGAATGTTGGCATGGTTTGTTGTTATTGTACAGGGAGGGCCGTTTGTCCAAGTGTTGTTTTATTAACCAGATGTATTTGACACACACTTGAAGTTTGAAATTTACGATTTCTTGTTGAATCTTGTTTATGTTCATTATTAGACCTCACATCAATGTGAAGGGATGTCTGGGTTGATTTGTGGATTAAGTTAATCTTTTCTGGCTGTTCCTATTCATCTTTTCTTGCCTTGTTCTCAATGTGTCTGACTTTACCTCTCCTCCTCTACATTGTCTCCCTCTCTTTCTTTCAGAAACAGGAACAAAAAAGAGGCATGATAATCTCAGCAAAACCATAATAGTATGAGCTATGTTCACGGCTGGCAGGCATAAGTGGCAAGTGCATTACTGTCACGCCGTTGACTGGGCACATGTATGTTAACGAACCGTGGCTTATGAACGCCGGAAAAGAAGCACATCAAAATCCATACAGAAGACAAGGAGATTATAATCGGTGGTGCTTGTCTTATCTAATGACATTGATTCGTTGCACATCCATTCCACGCACATCAGCCCCTGTGTGTTTTCTCCCAGACGGTTTTTCCGCCTGTGGACTCTGACATGCCGTCGTCAAATATTCTCACGGCGTCTCCCACGAGGATATGCCATATAATTCAGTACTCGACTTGGTAATTTAATGGCAAGGTTGGCATGAGCAAATCTTGAAGACTACATGACAAAATAAACATTTTCTTCTTCTCTCCCACAGCCAACTGTACAGCTGCCTGGTCCGTGAGCGGCTGAGACTTCTATCGGAGCTGGGGTCTGCACGAAACGGTTACTAAACAAAACGCCGTCGCCGCTACTCAAACTGCAAGGGAGGACGATTTGTGGTTGAGCGGTAACACGACACCGCCCAGCCCGGGCCTGCTGCCGCACAGTTCCCCCGGAAAGAAACTCTCACAGACCCTCAGCCGCTCCAAAAACCACTTTAAATAGCTCTTAACTTCACTTCGGGCGACAGGCCATAAACAACAAGCGATCTTATCGGGACGTATTTCGGAGTGCGTTAACAACTGTAGAGGGACCAGGATATCCTGACCTGAACTTTTGGCCATTAGCAGGATAGAAGCGACCGACAGCATGTGGGGGGGACGGCGTGGTGTGGCGACTCTTCTCATTTTTACGGTCCTCTTAATACAGGTACGTGTTACCCTGTATTCTAGCTGAATATTTACCTCATGATGATAGAACCACAACCTCTATCGCAAGAGGGCATCAACACCTATAGAGTTGGATTATCACGGTATTGTTTGGGAATGGGCAGCACCAGTGGTGTATTAACACAGCAGGCTAGTGTTTGTGTGTACATGTAGTGTTGGGTTACATCTAGGTTAATAGGTTCCGAAGCAAGGTCTGCTCTGAACGATGAGGAAATTGGTTAAATAGCAGTCACAATCTGCCTGTCCATCCAGCTTGTACATGTTTCAAGTTTCCATGTTCAAGTGTTTTGTTTGCTGCTATTGTTGTTGTTACCTTTGCCTGAGAGGTAATGTTTTTAGCGTGTGTAACGGTGCCTGTGGTTTAGCGCTATAGCCGCAGCATATGTTCCCCTCTATATCTCACTTTTCTACCCTTTGTTTGCCGCCTTTACGATTGGCGGATTATGAATGTTCTCACTGATTATTCAAAGAAAATCATCGCTTGCATTAATCATATCAGTTGATTCAATACTCCATTCAATGACAGTCTTATCTTAACAAAGAAGGTTATTCTAACTTCCCTCGTACCTATTAATAACTGATAAAGAAAGGAACATCGACAGTTATCACGATCGTCTCCGCCTTTCAGTGCTTGTCACCAAGGCTGGTCGTTAATATGGGAATTTCGATAGATGAAATGAAGACGTTAATTGCATAATGAAGGCGAAAATGCTATAATACTAAAGTGGTAACTGACAGGAATGTTATACTTGCAGCGTTTGTAAAGGCGAATATTATCAATATAACTCATGCATATCACGGCCTCGTTTGCACAAAAGGCGCACAAAAGGTTTCAACCTTGTCCTTGGGAGAACGTGTGACGTGTGATAAAATCTATGCAAATGAGGACTTATCAGCATAAATAATGAGAAACCGCTAATGCCTTTTTGGTGAAGGTCTGTTGTCGTGGAAAACTCTTGTTGCTTTTTTTGCTTAGATAGCTGGATGTGGTGTATTTTCAATCCGGGCCTGCAGCGCGCATTTTCTTAGGAATGATATTTTAGTGACTGGATATAACGAGATATGGCCTGTATATGCTCACATTTACCATGTATACCAAAATATCAATTTAATAACCAAAAAATATCAATCTAATGACCAAATTATATAACTCATAATTTTCATCTATCCAAAAATATCAATATAATGATTCAATCTGACTGATGAAGGTTGAAATTTCAAATTTTAACGCCGAGAGGTGATAGTGCTGGTGTCACATCCTTTAAGTGCGCGGCCTACGCATGGAGTGCGAGGACTCCACATCACTTACTCGCTGTGTTTCCAAACTACAGACGCTCTAGTCTTGCAATATCCTATACTTGACGCTAGATTGAGTTATTTTAGGCTTTGCAAATAGATTAGGACGACTTGAAACCAGACCAGATTCTACTAAATTGAAATTGGAGATATCAAACAGCGGATGGTCCGGAAACAGCGGGACTGGTTGCTATTCCATGTTCACTCCTAGAATTATTCTAAGACTAGCGAAGTTAAACCTATTAGGCTTTTTTGGCTGCTATCTCCGGTTTCTGGACATGAGCAGCATGTAAACGGTTAGGCAGAGTCTTGAGTAGATAAACATGTCAGTAAAGGTTCTGTGTTGCCTCTCGTTGCAGAGGCATGTGTGGGGGCCCGCAAGCCCTTTTCCGTAGAGCGTAATCGGCCATTTTAATTCTACGTAGAGCGTAGACGGACCGCTCTTCGCATTTTGCGCAGAGCGTATCTGCTGTTTTAATTCTACGTAATGCGTTGTAGCCACTTGGAATTTATCGTAAAGCGTAATCGAGAAGTTTCCGAATTCAGAGTAGAGCGTTGTCGGGACCCCCCCCCCTTGCAGGCCCTCTCTCTGAGAGAGTCAGACTGAAGTTCATGTTGCCCAGCTGTGCGTGGCGTTTGTCATCACTGTGGGGTCAAGTGTTCTGGGTGTGCTACACCACCGGAAGCGTGCGGCAAGGGGAGGGGTTCTGTAGCAGGCAGTGCGGGTCATTAACGTGAGGGGTCCAGGCCTTGCCGGCCAGCAGCCGTACACACCGGCAAAGAGTACAGTGTCAGAGCAAAGGTTGAACTATGGTACTACAGAAACCATAGCTGTCTACGTGCTGTTTGTGTGTGTTTGTGTTGTATTTGGTATCATTTATGGTACCATTACCAAAGACATAATGCTACAAACAGAACGCGTTACGTGTCACGGTGGAATGGGCAGAGTTACACACGTACGTGTTCTTTACGAAGAGAATGGATTTTTTCTACAACAGACAGAAAATATTAGATTCTGTTTGATTCATTAAACCGTATAAAGGTATATGAAGCCAGGACTGTCCAACTAGCCACGGGCTAGCTCTCATTACTGGACAATAAACAATTAACAATAGGAAATAAGAACAATTATAATTCAGGAACAGAATTTTTCTGGTTTATTTTCTGTCTTAGTCTATTTCCTTTCGATTGCGTGCACTGTTGATTATTGTTGACTTCTTTGTGTATATTTCAGCGTGCATAAAATTCACACATACTGACACACTAACACACATACGAAAGCATACTCATACATTCCCCCAAACACACGCACTCACACAAACTCACATAGGGACAGACACGCATTACACACACACCGTGACAGTCATACAAATACGCATACACGAAAGCAAACACAAACACACATGCACCCTCAAAGATATACTGATAAACGCCCAAACATAAACACACAAAAACAACGCACATTCATGCATGCCAATTGGATTATTACTATTTCCAATAGGTCTAAGAGACCAGTTTATGGCCGTTTTCCTGTCCCCTGCCATGTATAACGTACCGTGCAATACTAGTATGTACCCATGCTGACAGTCTGTGAAGTCAGTGCCAATCAGACGGTCTAAAGTCCAGTATGTTTCAGTATTAACTGAGAAAAACACGGCTTAAGATATCAACAGCTATTATAAGGCAAACCTCGGTAGTGTAGGATGTTGGGAAATACTCATTTAAAGGCGAGTTATTTATAACTGTGCAGTGAAATAGATATCCTTGCCCTATATACACGAATAAACACGTACATGTGACATAGTATCGGGTTGGGTCACAAACCCAGCACCGCCCCGTCCGCTGAAAACTGGGACACGTCACTGATGAGAAGAAGGGTGAGAATCAGTCTGCTCCCGATGAGCGCGTGTGCAAAAATACACATTACATGTAATAAACAATTATGAACACTACTGCATACGCATGCTTTTTTAACACTCAAAGTACCCATTGACGAGAAAATAATGAACTTTTGTAGCCTAGCCTTGCTAACAACGTAACAGTGAAACATGAAACTTCTGGACAAAACAAAGTACAGGACCTTCCATGTTACACGCAAATATATGACTTGTTGACTCGTTTTGTTCTCAAAATGTGCTGTTCCTACCAACTGATTAAACCTTAGCACTTAAAAATGTTTTAATAAAACGTATATGTGCTTTGAAATTAGCTCTATATTTGACTTGAGATATCCTTTAAGATCATGTTGTCCTTGCACAATGCACGACAAGTGTTCATGTTTTCCACAACCTACCCCGACCCAACCATGGAGTAGGTCGTAAGCAATGTTGGCTGTGGTCGGCTGTTGTTCGGCTGCAACAGCCGAATGTTTTGAAAGGTTTAAAACATTTAGGTGTGGATGGGAGCTTCGGCCAAGTTTGGCTGGTTATTGGCTGGTGTTCGGGAGTAGGTCCGCAGTCTTTAGGGCTTGTTCGGGGGTCACAATTTAATCAGATTTAAAAGGTAGGTAGACGTGACGTGTCAGACTGTTCCCGAACTTCAGCCGACCTTAGTTGGCTGGCTAGTGTTCGGGAGCAAAGTCTCACGGTATAACCGCGACTTTACTCACACATTCAAAGTGGAAACACACGCATTGCTTGATGCCCTGGCAGCGTTATTCATCGTTCAACTAGTAAATTAAACAACACTATTCTGTGTACCAATACCCATCCATGCCCCTCCATGCACAAATGAAATATATCCACGCGTCAACCACAGCATGCGAGGGAAGCTTAAGGTGGCTTTTGTTTTCTTATCAAATTCTTTCTTACTTTCGTTACTTTCGACGGAAGAACCACGATACGTTGTCCTTCAAAGTTTGGAGACGGTATTATCATAATATAGCTAATTATAACCAACATAGCTTAGTTATAGCTTAGTAATGTAATCCAAAACAGAACAATATTTTGTAAACCATTAAATGCTGTTAAATGCTGCACACAGTTTTGATAACTAAAGATGTACAGCAAAGGACACAAGGTCTTACAATCATCTCTTATGACATTTTGATTTAATTGGCGAATGACTTTTGGTCGCTCATCTGTTGTCAACGGTCCCGTCCTTTAGAAGTAACAGGGCAGTGTGTTCTGCAGTACATTCCACTAGTGTGACGTGTGTTAGACATGCCATGTACGCTGCTGATGCCAAAGGTTCTATAGATGAGTCTGTACACATGCCATGCATTGCTTCACCGGAGAAGAATGACTTTGACATTTCCCTTGTGCCGTCAGGAGATGTTTACATACCGTTAGAGTTCATACCCTTTCAAATGGCACGTAGATGGCGTAGTGTTTACCAACCTGAATATGCATTCAGGGAACCGTGTTCTTCAAAATATGTCTTTGCTTTAATTGGCATGTCGTTAGATACATGCTACAACGTGGGGAAAATAGTAAACAAAACAGACACGCACCAACCCATAGGTTACAAAGTATTGTATGTTTGATTTCACTTTTTACCCTATGAAACGCCTGGAACAAACAGCTTTACAATTAATCATGAGAAATGGGGAGAGCTGCGGCTGTTTGTGGAGCTTTATGTGGAGTAGTCTGCCATGTCCATAGATCTGCACGTAAATTTATTGACAGTTGACGTTTAATTTTTATTTCAATTATACAGGACAACCAAATGCCTAACACCTAACAG